CTGACTTGCTTTGGACAACTTGGCATGCAACCTCTGCGGTTTTCTGGGCTCGCAGAGCAGCCATTGCCTGTGCATCCCACTTCTGCAAGAACTCGGGTGTGGGTGGAGAAACTCACAAGCTTGTAAGCCCTGAACCCGAATCCCAAACTGGGACATTAGGGTGGCTGGGGGGCCGTGGACGTAGAACCCTACTAGAGCTTGAGACTAGTCATCAGCGCCTGATCGCAACACCAGCGTTGTAAAGGATCCGATGCTGACCCAAACCTGCAGAACACCAAGAGCGGCACGAGGACGACGAGGGGAAAAACGCCGGAGCGCCCTGGCGTTGCTAAGGTGCGGGGCTGTGGGCTTATGCAGCGCGAGGTGTGTAGGATCATTTTTCATCCTGTAAGAATACAACCAGCTAACTTTTGTTAAAGAGAACTATCCAAAAAGGGTACGTCAACACATCAGCACGGTATCTAAGGTAGCGGCCCTTTTTCACGGCATATAAGCTATTCCAGGCATGGCAAGATCGGGAGTCATCCTTTAACGTGCCCCGCCCCCTGCCGCCAGTAAGGGGATGAGGCCATCGTAGACGAGTCTTGCGGATCAAACGAAGACGAAGGCTATGGTTACCAAGAGTGCATGATTTCCAGAACTTTGAGGCAGTACCAACAAGCCAGTTAGGGTCTCAAGGTGTGATGGGTGAACAAGGCTGTGGAACAAGAGTGAGAGAGATGAATGGTACGGTTTCTAAGTCAAGATGGTACCGCACGAATGTAACCCTAAATCTGCTGTTATCCAGACCAGGCGTTAACAGGGTCTCAAGGTGTGATGGGTGCTGCGGTTGGACTGGTCTCTAAGCCGGTTAGTAACTCAAGACATTAAGACTCAGCCCCAGATCAACCATTCAATCATTACCAACCGGGCAGTTTCTACCTTCATGAGTTGGCTGTTCATGGGTGCGTCTGGAAAGAACTATTGACCTGGAAAGGCGTGAATCATGAGTGCTCACTTCCTGTCTAGGTCCGTGAATTCGCGCACTCATTCATTCGTGCATTTTGTTCATTATATTCGTTCATCCTTTCTCTCATTCATTTAGTAGTTTTGCTTTTAGGAGAGAATAGTAAATGTAATGAATGAGAGAATTATTAAGGAGATTTCAATAGGATTTCTAAGGAATGAAGACAGCGCATTAATGCATGACACGTGACCCCCATTTCAAAGAGGTTCTTGATGGCGGCTGTGAGTTTAGAGAATTCTTGTGCATTAATTCACTTCGTTCTCTTTATCTTGTAGTTTTAGTATTATTCACCCACGGGCACGCAATTATAATATAAGCCCGTGAATACTAATAATACAATTGAATCTGGAATTATTATTAAAAGTGCGGGCAAAAAGAGCAAAACGCCCGCGGATTTATAATTCATGCCGTTCGTTCGTTCATAGAATTCATGCGTTCTTTCACTGCGTTCTCTCCCTTATAATTCTATTTCACTTACTCTCTTCATATTATAAGGAGTGAGTGTACGAACGCATGAAAAGTGCGCACATTTAATGATTTTGTTTCGTGCGCATATTTCGTTCGTGTTTTCGTTTCGTTCACATGTTCACGCGCTCATTCCATGTTTTCATTCACTTGTTCACATTGTTCTCTACACTTTATCCATTACATCCCGGGCTCTTATTAATATATGCCCGGGGCTACATGAAATACTATTAATGCGGCCTCATTATATTCTTTTTGACCGCCAGTATAATATTACGCGCAACAGACGTGCTTGCCTCTGTCAGTTTTCATGCCAAGCCCTAAGACCCTAAGACCAAACGACCCGAATGTGGTACTACCTTGTAGCAGGGAGAGGGTCGATAAAGAGCAGTTTCCGGCTTCAACAAGGTACGGTGAGTTTATTGGGGCTCAGCTTCTGTCGGCCTTCTGTTTCTTACATCTTCGGCTTCTTTTTCTGTCACTTGAAGCCCTCTCAGCCCCAACTGTTTCGGGAGGGGGTTCGGGTTAAGGGCTTAGGCTTAGGGCTTCGGGCTTGGGTTTCAGCTGGAGTAGAAAGCCCAAACCCTGAAGTCCCACAGACCTTAACCCTAGAGCAAAACTCTCCTCGCAAGCCGGCTCTCGCCTCCTTCCGCTGCCGGAGGACGGCCACAGCTCCGCGGTTCTGCAGCACGCCACCTGGGATGAAGTTGTCATTTTGGCTTTCGGGGGTTTAGGGATTCGTCGCCGAGGTTTAGGAGAGCGAGCCGCCATCTGGATACTTCGTTGGTGCTAATCCGGGCTGTCTTTGAAAGTGGGAGAGGCTGAGGAGTTCCGAAACTTGGGTACAAATTAGAGCTTCCGAAAATTAAGGGCCTAAACCCTAAACCCTAAACCCTAAACCCTAAACCCTAAACCCTAAACCCTAAACCCTAAACCCTAAACCCTAAACCCTAAACCCTAAACCCTAAACCCTAAACCCTAGACCCAAACCCTAAACCCAAGGAGTACCCCTATTTTGGGAAAATTGCCAGCTCGAGCCGTGGAGCTTTGTCGGTGCCATAGGCCGAGGCGCTTTTTTTAAAAAGAGCAGCCTGAACCTTCTACACCCCAAGCCCTAAACCACATATAAACCATAAAACCATATATAAACCCTAACCCTAAACCCTAAACCCTAAACCCTAAACCCTAAACCCTAAACCCTAAACCCTAAACCCTAAACCCTAAACCCCAAAGAAAATCTAAACCCCAAGCCCTAGCTACAGCTTCCCCACGATCCGAAAAAAAAAAAAGCCCTGTGGACACGGGATGACCAGGTGCCCCAGCCGTACTTGGAGGCAGAGAATAAGGTCATCAGCCTGATTGATCTCGGTGCAACAGTTTAGGGCGTAAGGGTTGAGGACTGAGGGCTTGGGGTTTAGGGTTTAGGGTTTAGGGTTTAGGGTTTAGGGGTTAGGGGTTAGGGGTTAGGGGTTAGGGGTTAGGGGTTAGGGGTTTAGGGCCTGGGGGCATTTGGGACTTTAGGATTCAGAGCTTCGTTTAGGCGGTGGGGTTTAGGGTTTTAAGGGTGTTAAGGGTTGCCCCCCAATTGGCCTTCATTAGAAAGCCGTGGGGCAGAGGGGGGGGGGGGGGGGGGGGGGCAGATGATCCTGCAATACTATGCAGGGTTTAGGGGGTTTAGGGTTTAGGGAGTCTCTACCTTTTCGGAACCTGTGGCCATAAAACCCTGAAGGCCTCTGTCGACTTTGATGCTCCCTCATGTCGCTTGGGCCCCCATGTAGGCTTAAGGGTTAAAACCTTCAACTCCATGAGCCATCCGTCTGTGGGAGCTTACGAAAATCAGGGACCCCCATACTGGACCCCCAAGTAGTAGGATTCCCCAAGAATGAGGACCCCAACAGGGCACCCTAATTTCAATCAAAAACATGCCCCAAACCCTAAACCCTAAACTCTAAACCCTAAACCCTAAACCCCAAATAGTAGGATTCCCAAAAAATTAAGGACCCCAATAAGGCACCCGAATTTGGAAACAAAAAAAACCATGTGCAATGCAACGCCGAAATGTTGGGGTCTGTGCGGGGTTTACGGTCCAGAAGGTTCAGGGCTTCGGTCTCGACCTTGGGCCCGAAACCCTAAACCCTAAACCCGAAACCCGAAACCCCAAACCCTAAACCCCAAACCCAAAACCAAAACACACAACTTTCTTCAGAACGCGCGCCTGCCCCCGTGCTCGAACTCGTAGCCGCCACCTCGGCGGGTCGCCAAGCCAAGCAAACCTCGTGAAATGCCCTGAAACCCCAGGGTTTCGGGTTTAGGGTTTAGGGTTTAGGGTACCTTATTGGGGGATCCTTCAGTAGAACGGAATCCTACTTTTTTTGGGGGGGAGGGGGGGGTCTAGATTCGGGGGTCCCTTATTTTCGGAAGCTTCCATATTTGCATATTCGTATGTATTCGGGCTGAGAAGAATCACGTGAGTGACGTGGGGCACACAGGTAAGGCTGAACAAAAACCCTGCGGTTAAGGGTGAAGAGCTGCGGGTACCCCCGCGAATAATACCTAAACCCTAAACCCTAAACCCTAAATCCTAAATTACTAAACCCTAAACCCTAAACCCTAAACCCTAAACCCTAAACCCTAAACCCTAAACCCTAAACCCTAAACCCTAAACCCTAACTTTTGAGCTTCGGCGGCTCACTCGCCAGGAGAGTGAAACAAACGAGGCGCGCCCCCTTCCGACTTGAGGCGTTCAAGGCCCGGGGGTTTGGAGGGGCTGGCGGCTCTGGCTCTGGGACAGCCCGGGCGGCTCAAACAAAGTTTAGGGTTTAGGGTTTAGGGTTTGGGGTTTAGGGTTTAGGATCCAGGGCTTAGGGAAAAGGAGTTTAGGAGGAAAGTCAGACACCTTGACCTAAGCAATGTTCCATGTCCAAACCCTAAACCCCATAAACCCTATAAACCCTACAAACCCTATAAACCCTGTAAACCCTATAACCCTAGAAACCCTATACACCCGATGAACCCTATACGTGCTAGAAACCATAATGTCGCTGCTGGTTTGCGTTAGCAAAAACATCTCTCCAGTCCTATGAACGCGACCTGCAACAATCCAAACGCTTCAAAGCCCTAAACCTCAAACCGTAGCCCTAAACCTCCAATGTCGAGGGTTTCGGGCTTCAGAATTCGAAGTGCAGGGGCTTAGGGTGGAAAAGTTTGGGGCTTAAAGGTTTCAGGGTTTAAGGGTTTGGGGCTTAAGTGTCTAAGGGCTCAAGGGTTTGGGAGCTAAGTTAGAGGTTCAGGGTTTCGGGTTTGGGCCCGTGGGTGGCCCAGAGCAGGAACTGTACACACACGCGCCAGCTGCATGTGACGCGAACAGCCATGTGCAGCCTGATGGCAATAAACATTCTGGCAGCTATTGCGGTACCCAGACCCAGACCCGTAAACCCTAAACTCTAAGCTTTGGGCCTAAACCCTAAACCCTAAACCCGAAACCCTAAACCCCACGAGGCCTGTAAGGCCTAAAAGACTTGGCAGGACCTCAGCGCTCGTCGGCTTTGCCGATGCAAGAATCCATAAAGTCCTAGCTGGAGGCTTCGGGATTTTGGGTTTAGGGTTTAGGGTTTAGGGTTTAGGGCAGCCTAGGAGGGTTTAGGGCAGCCTAGGAGGGTAGTTGAAACCTTTAAAGAAGGTAAGGGACCCTACTAATGGCCCATATAGATACCCTTAGGGTGTCGGGGTATGTTTACGGACTACAGGGGTTTGAGGGTGTTCAGGGTGTGGCTTTTTTCGGGCTTAGGGCTTACGGTTCAGAGCTTCGGGTTTAGGGTCTGGTCTTTGCCCTTGGCTTTTGGGGGCCTTCAAGGATAAGGGATCTCAAGGTCGGAGGGCTTATGAAAATTGACATTTTAGGGGTTACCCGAAACCCGCAACCCGAAACCCTAAACGCTAAACCCTAGGAGTTCCATTGAACAAATGGCGTTGCCGGGGGGTACAATGACAAATGACGCCTTCGCAGATGCCAGAGTTGCGCCAACTGTCGGGGGTCCATCCCCCCAGATTGCCAGGTTGCTACAAGGGTTTAGGGTTTATAGGGTTTATGGTGTAGGGTTTAGGGTTTACGGTGAGGTTGCACATGGAAAACTATACTGCGAAACAAGAAACCAATACTTTTCCTCATCCCGGGTCCTGAAAGTTTCGGTGGAAGTGGCTGCAAGTGGGAAACGCGACCTGCCAGGTTCGCACGCACAGAAGGCTGGGTGTACACAGCTGGTGATGGCTTGTCTTCCCTTTTCCCTTCTCAACCCTTTCATTTCTTGAAATAGTATGAACCCTAAGCCCTAAACCCTAAACCCTATAAACCCGAAACCCTAAACCCTGCACCTAAACCCTAAACCCATAAACTCTAAACCCTAAACCCTAAACCCTAAACCCAAAACCCAAAACCCTAAACCCTAAACCCTAAACCCTAAACCCCAACCCTTTTGGGATCCTGTAGCCCCATATTCTGTAGCCTTTTGCATAAGCCCGAAGTCCCCAATCGCGTACCCGCACGGGCTGCGCGATCGCAAAAACCCCTCGATGCCAAAATGCTCCTTCTGTGCGAACCATGAGGTGGCTACTCCTAAAGAAAGTTTATAGGGTTTAGGGTTTAAGGTTTAGGGTTTAGGGCCTTATTCACGTTTAAGGTGCGCGCACAGCGACTTCCCAATAAGCTTCACTCCAAAACCCTAAACCATATAAGCCCTAAGCCCTAAACGCTTAGGGTTTAAGGGTCTAAGCCACAAAATCTCCGTCCACCTTGTCCGAGTCTTGCACCTGCTGGCGATGAACTTGGGTTCAGGATTTGCAGGCTTCGGGCTTCTGAGGATATGGGAGCTTCCAATTTCTACGTGCCCAGGTAGGAGCCCCCTGAACAAAACATGGATCCCCAAACCCTGAGCTCCAAACCCTGAAGCCTCAAACTCTCGACCCTAAATCCGAAACTCTCCAAATGTCGTTCGGAAGGTGTGAGGCCTAGTTCGCACTGCTGAGCTTCGGAGGTTTTTGTGAAGCGGGGGCGGGTGCGGGGGCCGGGGGGGGGGTAGGGGTAGAGCTTATAAGGCTTATGGGGCTTAGGGCTGGCCTATAGTAGTTGCAGGCCTAGGGTCTTCATGAGGGTCTGAAGGGCTTCTGTTTGGGGTTTCGGGTGCCCCCCCGCCCCTGGATGCTTCAGGTGCTTCCTCTGAGAGTTAGGTTCGGAACAGTTGCCCTGAAGAATAGAATTCTGACCCGGATCGACCTGGTGCCCAGGGTCTACGGGGTTTTCAGGGTTTAAGCTTCATTCAGGTTACGGAGTTCTTGTAGGAAAACTAAGTCTAGCCTTTGGGGCTGAAAACAAGCTAGCTTACTTGTTCTCGACTACTAGTGGGCCAAAGCCTAAAACCCTACCCCAAGGACTCCATCATGCCATGTAGAAAAGGGTTTGGTTCAGGAGGCTTCTAGGTTGGGATGTTCCCCCTTATACTGACAGCCCTTGAAGGGGATTATACTAGGGGGTACGGGCACTATACTCCCTATTAAGGACTGTTAGTATAAGGGGGAACATCCCTAAGCCCTAAACCCCAAACCCTGAACCCCATTAAGGACTGTTAGTATGAGGGGAAAATCCAGCTTACAGGGCTGTCGGGTTGCAGGCCAGGGCAACCTCTGAGGTCTAGAGTCCGTTTTCTTTGCAGGCCTTACCCTAGGACTCTCGGAAGGTACCCCTAGGAATCTGGTGGTTTAGGGTTTGGGTTTAGGGTTTAGGGTTTAGGGTTTAGGGGTTTAGGGTTAGGGTTTAGGGTTTAGGGTTTAGGGTTTAGGGTTTAGGGTTTGGGGTTTAGGGCTTAGGGTTTAGGGCTTCATGCTTAGGGTTTTCAGGACTCTTGCGGCCTCCACACCGCCGCTCGCGAAGCGGCCGAACGCGCCCGAGCCGACCTCAGAATTCGCTGTCCATGGACCGATGAAAGCCTAATTAATAAGCTTTCTACACCCCACAAACCCTAAAAAAAGCCCTAAACCAAAAAAAACGCCGCACCCTCTTCTAAAGCCGAAGGTCCCTAAACCTGGTGCTTCTTCAAATTCGTCTAGCTTGGTGCGTGCCCTTTTGGCGTTCGTTCTCTTTCCGCACCCAGAAGGTGTACGTCGCGCACCGTCCGGGCCTCTTCCTTCACAGGCACGGACCGTGGCAGCCCGGCAAGTGGGAGTAGGGGGACGCCAATCACCCGCCATCGTGGCATGGCTTGTGCTCGAAGAAGAGGCATCAGCATGGTAGCGATCGCAAGCGAAGAAAGCCTGGGAAGGTGCTCCTGCAGCTTCTGCAGTGATGTGGCCACTGGGCTCCAGGGTTTTGAGTCACGCAGAGGTTCTGTTGCTAGCTGGTATGCCTAAAGCCTAAGCCCCGAAACCCTAAAGACTAAGGCCCTAACCCCGAAAGCCCTAAACCCTAACAAAGCCCAGGGCTAGAAGAGCAGGGGCCCCCCGGAGAATGCCTTTTCAAAGGGTCTAGGGCCGGATGTGGGGTCGAAAGATTTTAGAGTTTAGGCTTCGAAGCCGGATTTAGAAGGCTTTTCGCGTGTCTACACCCCCTCCCCCTCCAAAGAAGCCTAGAACATACCATCAAAACGCCCCTGAAAAGTACTACTTACCCTAAGGCCCTTGAGGCGAAATAAACCCTAAGCCCTAAACCCTAAACCCGAAACCCTAAACCCTAAACGGCCCTAAACCCTAAACCCTAAACCCTAAACTCTAAACTGCACCCTAAACCCTAAACCCTCTACGCCTTCCAGTCGTTCGACAGCAGCGCCGCCCCGACGTGGACCTCCGGGCTGGTGTGTTGGGTCTGAGGTGTTTTTGTGTTACATGGTCGCTGTAGGGTTTAGGGTTTAGGGTTTAGGGTTTAGGGTTTAGGGTTTAGGGTCTAGGGGCTGGCCCTCCATAATCGGGCCAAAGCTGCCTTTCGGCCTTTCGTATGTTACGGGGCTTTCGAAGCTAGTCTGCATCCCAACCTTCACAGATCCTGCGACGGCAAACCCCAAAACCCCAAACCCCAAACCCAAAACCCCAAACCCCAAACCCCAAACCCTAAACCCCAAACCCTAAACCCTAAACTCACAAAGGGCGTCGGCCCATTGGGGAGCTGGCCAGGCGCTCACAGCGCCAGAGCTCCATGACCATGGCCTCAGCGACAGGGAATTCGATTTTTGAGGGCCTCGGGGGTTTAGGAGTTTTAGGGGTTTTTAGGGGTTCAGGGGTTTGGGGGGTTTGGGGTTAAGGGGTTTAGGGGTTAAAAGGGTTAAAGGGGTTAAAGGGGTTAAAGGGGTTAAAGGGGTTAAAGGGGTTATAGGGGTTAAAGGGGTTAAAGGGGTTAAAGGGGTTAAAGGGGTTAAAGGGGTTAAAGGGGGTAAAGGGGTTAAAGGGGTTAGAGGGGTTAAAGGGGTTAAAGGGGTTAAAGGGGTTAAAGGGGTTAAAGGGGTTAAAGGGGTTAAAGGGGTTAAAGGGGTTTAGGGGCTAAGGGTCTTTTAGGGGTTTATAGGGGTTTAGGGGTTGAGGGTCTAGGGGTTTAGGGGTTTGGGGTTTGAGGGTCTAGGGCTTTAGGGCTGCAGGGTCGTAACGTCTAGAGCATTAAGGTTTAGGGTTGAGGGTTCTAGGGTTTCGAGCTGTAGGGTTTTTGGTGTGGGGCCTCACTTTCGTACTCGTGGAGCGAGTGTTAACCCGTTGCCTACAACCGACTGTGCAGGCGTGCAGGCAAGAGCTTTGACCAAGTCCCTAAACCCAGAGGAAAGGCCCCTAAACCTTAAAGCCCTAAAGACCCTGAGACCCTAACTTCAAACCCTCAACTCGAAATCCCTGCACTCTTCAGGCTGGCACTCAGAGGTTTGGGTTCCCCTCAAGGCACCTCACATTGCGCCCTAAAGCCCCTAAAAACCAAACAGTCTCTTTGAGCCGACAAGAAGCTAGACCCAAGGCACAAAGCTAGCCCTCCCCTCCCCCCCCCCGAACCCCACTAAGCAAGTGTAGGGTTTAGGGTTTAGGGTTTAGGGTTTAGGGTTTAGGGTTTAGGGTTTAGGGTTTAGACACCCAGAACTTGAAGCCAGGTCAAGTCCGTGGCCTTCTCTGGAAAGACGCAGAAAGGGCCTGGCCAACTAGGTTCCAGAGTAACTGAATCCTTGGAACCCCTTGGAACCTTTGGGTTTAGGGTTTAGGGTTTAGGGTTTAAGGTTTAGGGTTTAGGATTTAGGGTTTAGGGTTTAGGGTTTGGGGTTTAGGGTTTAGGGTTTAGGGTTCAAGGTTTAGGGTTCAGGGTCAAGAGGCCCTTCCGGTGGCCGCGGCAGTGTACTGAAAAGTCATCTGCGCGCTCGGTATAGTTGGGCTTAGCTGCTGTTAAAGGTCCTGTGACCTGGTCTACCAGGATGGGAAAACAAGCCTAATTCCTAAACCCTAAACCCTAAACCCCCCACAAAGACAAGAACACACACCCTTGGGCTTCTTATGTCTGATGGCTGGGGACTCCCAGGCTTGGAGCTACGTGGGAGTTTGAGTTTAGGCCTCAGGGTTTACGTTGCAGGGGTGTAAAGGTGGAGGGTTCAGGGTGAAGTAGGGCTGTAGGTGTTGAGGGGTTTAGGGCTCCGAGTGGAGAGGTGTTCGTGCCCCAAGACGAGGGAAGCGATCTGGGTGTGGATGGCCCAAAGCCCGAAACCAAATCCAGCTTTAGGGTAAGGGTTCAAGGACTTTTTGTCTATCACTGTTTTGCTTCTGTCATCTCGAGGTGTATGAAAACCCCTGTTCAAGTGGATATTCCAGAATTGCTTCGATCGTTGGCTTCATCTTACGCTTGTCGCCTTGGCGAGCAACATGTCCGAGGGGTTTCTCACCACTCATCTGGGAATGGGGGGTCCGGGCAGCTGGAGCAGAGAGCGGGAGAACAGAGGGAGAGAGAGAGAGGGAGCGAGAGCGAGAGCGAGAGCGAGAGGGAGAGCGAGAGCGAGAGCGAGAGTGAGAGAGAAAACAAGAAGTTGAGTCAGTGCGCAAATCAAATCGAAACCCTGTTCTCGGTAGCACGCCTGCTGCCATGTCAATGTAGAAGAACTGCACACCTGGTGGTGGTACTGCAGAGGGTACAAGGTATGTGTACAATGTAATTAGCCTCCAGCATGCGCAACTTCAAGGGGCTACACACTGCACACAACCCTCGCTTGAGACGGCAAGGTACCGTTGGATGTCCATGTGCCGGCAATCGGAAGAAGGCCTGACATCTGCTGGACCATTGGGAAACTTTCTGCGAGGTGGTCAGACCTTGAAGATTTGTGGTGGGGTGTTTTTTGAAAGCGCTTATGAAGCCCTTGGCGCCCTGCATCCTAAATCTCCTGAGGGGCAGTGTTTCTTTAAAGCGGCAGATCGCCAGCCCTGCGAGACCTTAACATCCTAAACCCTCAACCTGAAACCACTGAAACGCTAGACTCTAGAACTCGGAACCTTAAACCGCTTCAGCCTTGAACCCTAAACGCCAAAACCACAAAAATCCCAAAGCCCCAAACGCAAAGAACAATTGTCAGAGAGCCCTACAACCCCAAAAACCTCTAGAACCTTCAACCCCTAAACCCTACACCCTCAATGCCCCTAAACCCCTTAAGGAACCCTTGCTTGCCAGACTTAAACCCCTAAACCCTACACCCTCAATGCCCCTAAACCCCATAAGTAACCCTTGCTTACCAGTCTGACCACGGCCTGCAGTCACTTTGCTCAGACGGTTTCTGCGGCCTCCCGAAGGCTTCACCCCCTTGCTCTTTAGTAGGGAATGGGGGAAGTCGGGCCCTTTTTTCTCTACCCTTTCAGGGATTTCAGAGGGTACCCACTAGTAAGAACCAGCCAGAATTTATTGCGGTTCAACTGGTTCAGTTGAGTTGGGACTTCTTGCTTAAGCCAGCGCTGGACCATTTTGTTGTGGGGCCTGTGTGGAGTCTGCACTAAGCTGAGTCGGGTTCGGGGTTATGGTTGCAGTTATGAGTTTTGGGCTCATTGCATAGGCGCCGGACCCTTTTTAGCCAGAATCGTAGTCTTAATTCTTCAACCGACCCTGAAACTCAACAGAAGCCCACACTCCACGCATCCAAAGACTGAATTTCAAAACCCTCAGCTCTAAATACCCGAAGACTAGGTATGTTGACTACTGCGGGGTTTGGGCTTCGGGTTTAGAGTTTAGGGTTTAGGGTTTAGGGGTTAGGGTTTGGGGTTTAGGGTTTAGGGTTTGCGGTTTCGGCACCTGCAGGGAAGGCACTTGGAGCGCTTCGGGGCAAGACCCAGGGTTCGGGGCTTTAAGGAGTTTTTTAAAAGAGCTTCCACCATGTTGCACCTACCGTGCCTGTCATTGTGTCATTTTGCTTTGCGGCCGCAGTGTGTCTAGACTCAGTCCATCTTGAGACTTGTAAACACAGCAGACACAGGCATACAGGGGACCCCTTCATATACCCCAAACGAGTATCCTGACTATAGAGACCACCCCAAAAATAGGACATCCCATCTTCGGAACCCCCCCCCCCCCCCCCTATCGGTTCAAGGCATTTGCAGACAATGGAGTTGAGGTCCCCTAAGCCCCAAAAGTCTAAGCAAACACGCAGTTGCGCCTTCATCTGGCAGGATGTCATCACGAATCCCGCCTTGGGGGCCATGGCCCAGTGATAGGAGTATGCAGGTCTCGGGTTGAAGGGCACATGCCTCAGCCATAAATCGCTGAAACGGGGCGAGGGCTCTCCCAAAAAGCAGGGCTCAGGGTTCAGGGTTCAGGGTTCAGGGTTCAGGGTTCAGGGTTCAGGGTTCAGGGTTCAGGGTTTAGGGTTTAGGGTTTAGGGTTTAGGGTTTAGGGTTTAGGGTTTAGGGTTTAGGGTTTAGGGTCTTTTTTCTGGAAGGTTCATGGTGCCCAACTCCAGCTAGGACTCGAAGCCTGCACCCTAAACCCTAAATCCGAAACTCTAAACCCTAAGCCCTCTACAAAAACCCTAGTCTACGACCACGCACCCCAGGAAGCAATGCCTGGATGCGTAGATTTGGAGCTCTAGGGCCTACGCCCATGTCTTAGGGAAGTTGAACGGCAACTTTGTTGCAAATACTCGCAACGCCACGCCAAAACGCCGCTCTTATGCAATGCCTGCTTCTTTGCCCACCCCCGCCCCCTCCGGCCCCGGCAGAAAGAGCCAACCCGACAAGCTGCGAACCCCCTCAACAAAAACGGCAGGAGATACAAACCCTGGGGACCACATGTACCCTAAAATTGGGGTCATATACCCTATACTACCATGATTCCTTTTAAGGTATATGAGCCATCATAAACCCTTCTAGGGTTCATTTGGTCCCCAAGGAAGGAGCACAGAATGGCAGAGGGTTTCCAACATGCGGCCACGACACCGGAGGCAGCTTGCTGAGGCGAAAGCTCGGCCTGCGAATCTCTACGATCTCAGGTTTGGGAGTTTAGCTATATAATATACATATATACATATATACATATATACATAAATATGTATATATGTATAGTATACGTACTTTATGCACTAAGTATACAATATATATATATATATATGTATATGTAGATGTACATATGTGTGCAGTGTCACCCAGCAGACCGCAAGCCTTTTGTTTGCCATCGGCCGCCACCTCGTACAATCCTCAGCAAACTTGTATGATCGTTATGGAGTTTAGGGTTTAGGGTTTAGGGTTTAGGGTTTAGGTATCTAAAACTACAATACAATGTGAGTTGTGTGGCCGTTTGGGAAATCAGGCTTGTGGCAGTATTCGGCTTCGTCGAAATCAAGCCATGATGCATTTAAAGTGCAAGTAGGTGCAAGCCCAAAAAGACGACAGTAAAGGGTGTGTACCTTCCAATCCCAGTATTTGCTGGGGGGGAAAGGGGGGGGAAAGGGGGGGGGGGGGGGACGGGTTTGTGGGGGTTCGGAACATGCAGAGTTTTAGGCTCGAGATGTAATCACATGTCACGTTGAAAGCTTGGTTCCACATCGCTCCTACACAGTTGATCATGCAAAAGCGCATGTCTCTCTCAAACACGAACCCCTACACCTCACAGTCCACCAACAATTCTCAACAGCAATCCCAAGTCCCTAACCTGCTAAACCTCCTGGGCTCACAGACCGTTCACTGCTCATGTAGGGCTTCAACTCTTCGGGCGTTGGGCACATTACTAAGGGGCGTCTGCTTGGGATGTCCCCCCCTTCTGTTTGTCTTCATGTGATAAAGGGAATCCAGGCACACCACTGGAAAATGTACAGGATAAACTTGCTACATGTATTGAGCGGCGGGAGTCCCTGAGGCTGTCCTACACTCACGATGGCCGTGGCTCTGGTAGGATTCAGCGGCCACTCAGAGACAGCTTTGGCAATGGCGTTGTCCTTGCCGACATCACAGTCAAAAGTTTAGAAATCGCATTGAACACGTCCCTTGCCTTTTGGGGAAGAAGGTTTTACGATACGATCCGCGGCGGTGAGTGAAAGCAAATGAAGGGCTGAGACCTGATTTTGGGGGGGTACTTCTGGGTTGTATGGGTCTTCGTCCCGGGTCCGGTATTCAGGATCAAGAAACCTTTCAGCCGCCCGCCGACTCGTGGCTGCAGTATGCTTCAGGGTACTTATATTCCAAGTTAGAACTGTCCCTAAGTTCCCTAAGTAGGTTAGAAGTAGACTTATAATTGTGGTTACAAGTACCCATGAACCCTCCAAGTGTCCACAAGCTATGTGATACGCCGGCCCCTGCGTGCATGAAACGATGGGGAAACGCCGACTTCCGCCGATACGCCGATACAAGCACTAGTACGTGACATACATACATACATACATCCATGCATACATACATACATACATACCATGCATACATACATACATACATACATACATACATACATACATACATACATACATACAATGCACACGTACATACACACCATGCACACGTACATTCCCTGCTCACCTGCCCACATACATACTTACCTCAATACTTACATTACATACATGCGCTACCGTACCTACATGCATACATACATACATAGAAGGTTGCTCGACGTTAAGTGGGCCAAGGCAATAAAAGCTGTTGGGCGAAGCAGACCTTTCCCAGACCGTGACCGAATCCGAACAGCATTCAAGCTCTCGAAGCGGTTTGGGGGTTAGGGGTTTAGGGGGGTTTATAGGGTTTAAGCCCCCCCCAACCCCACATAGGACTTGCTCTTAACCTCCAATGGCCTTTAAAAGCCATACAGCTCGAAACGCCGTAACCATCCGGACCTCAAGCCACAGAAGACAAAGGCCCATCACGCCCTCAAGTCCTCTAACCCCCCGAATGCTGAAGACCACAAGGTGGCACACAAATTATCTGGGATCATCCCGTATAGGGTTTAGGGTTTCGGGTTTAGGATTTAGGGTTAAGGGTGTAGGGTTTAGTGTTTCGGGTTTAGGATTAGGGTTTAGGCTGTAGGGTTTGCTCGTATCTCAGAAGTCCAAGCCCGAAACCCTCAACCGCAAGTGCTGTTGCCATCGCCACTGCCACGAAAACTGCCGAACTTCCAAAGCATGCCTGCGACCCTGCATGGTAGGCAAGTCGCCACACACCCCTTCAACCACACACTCATCCAATCACTGAGACCCGAAACCCTAAACCCTAAACCCTAAACCCCAAACCCCAACACTAAACCCCAGACCCACAACCGTGGACCCGTCCCGTCCTGCGCTTCAAGAAAAGACGGGAAGAGCTTCTCGGAGGATTCGTAGCCAAATGTCTGGGCCCTAAGTGCTCGGAGGCTTGTGGCATAAACCCAGGGATGGGAGGGTTAGGGTTTAGGGTTTAGGGTTTGGGGTTTAGGGTTTAGGGTTTAGGGTTTAGGGTTTAGGGTTTCGGGTTTCGGGTTTAGGGTTTAGGGTTTAGGGTTTAGGGTTTAAGGTTTAGGGTTTAGGGTTTAGGGCTCCTGACGCCAAGCCTTGAACAAGAAAGCCCTGGATGTGCAGCGTTGAGAGAGAGATCGAGGCTTCTGCGAGCCCCTAACCCTAAATAACCCCAAACCCTAAAAACCCCCAACCGCAAACCCCAAACCCCAAACCCCAAACCCCAAACCCCAAACCCCAAACCCCAAACCCCAAACCCTAAACCCTAAACCCTAAACCCCTTTGTCAGCCCTCAACTCGGAGAACCCGCAGCCCCGAACCCAGAAGAAGGAACTGAGAATTCGACGCCCTCAGTCCCTGTTAAGAAAACCTACCTTTTTTGGTAGGGTTCCTAAGACCTTTGTATGGTACTTGATAGCCCAGGAACCATATTATCATAAGGGCACCCTTCTTTCGGTTCGCTACTTTTCAAGGGAATCTTGAGCAAAAAAAAGGAGAAGGGTAGCACTGGGCGACCAAAGGTAGGGGTTAAGGAGGGCTGAGGAGTTGCGGTGTCCAGTTCTTCTAGGCGTACGATAGTGACGACGACGACCACGATGCACGCAACCCGAAGCGGGCGGCCCAACCCGTACCCGTTTTTTGCGTAAGGCCTAGCAGCACCCCAACACTTCGGGATGGGGGTTTAGGTTTTAGGGTTTAGGGGTGCTGGGCGGCTGGCCATATGAAGTCTCGGTTCTTCTGCAGCATAGCCAAGGACGTGACCTCAGCACTGGGATTTGAGGGGTTGAGGGGTTGAAGCGGCCAGTGAATGTATCGAACCTCAAGACCTACATTCCCGATTCCATAACTGCCCTGACAGTGGCTAGGACAGCCATTAAAACCGTCGGGAAAATATTCCTAAACATGATTCTCTTGAATCCCTATCCCAATGGCCGACCTAGGTGGAGGTTGAGTTGTCTGTCTGTGTGTCTGCCTGAAAAGTGACGTCCTAGGGCTTCGGGCTTCGGGCTTCCCTATAGAACTGCCATTAGACATCTTGGGGACATCCGTCGCGTCGGAGGCTCTGTGCGCAACCCCCTAGAGAAGGCAGATGGTCCCAGCGATGGGCAAGAAACGCGGCTGAACCCACGTCAGGGTTTAGGGGTTTAGGGGTTTAGGGGTTTAGGGGTTTAGGTTTAGGGTTTAGGGGGTTTAGGGTTGAGGGTCTGCAGCCCTAAAGCCATCCAACTCAAGCTTCAGGTGCAATTGTTGGATTCAATCAAACCTCCGCAGAGCATCACCTAGAATCAGAGCCGTCAGCCATGCGCACACCCAAGACCTTCCAACTGAAAACGACAAAAAACTCATCAACCCCAGAAATGCGGTGTAGCTCGACTAGAAGCCCCCCCCCCCCCCCGCCCCCCCCAAAAAAAACAGGTCTCTGAAGGCAAGCCGCTCCCTTCGCCACCGCCTTTTCGAAGGAGCGCCGCCGCTTCCTTAGGCGGTAGCTAGTTCGAGGCTTTACGTCCAGGCTTTTCAGGACCCATGGTCCAGAAAGAGCGTGAGGTTTGGGGAAAGGGTTCAGGGTAATCCCTCAGGCTGCCTCAACCTCAACCCCTAAACTCAACCCAAAGTCCTAAGCACTTCAACTGGGACGAGGTGCTAAACATACAAAATGCATTCGGGTATCCCTGTAGCTTCTAACGATACCAATACTCGCTCAGGGCCTTTAGGGTCCATGGGGGTTCGGGTTTAGGGGACTTCTGCGCAAATTTTAAGGTGTTCTTCAGAATGCATAGTAGCCTCACCCGAAGTAGGGCTCCACTTCTGGCGGTGCAAACACGAGCCCTTCTGTTGACGGACGAAACCCTAAACTCTACCCCCTCCCCTCTCACCCCCGCCCCCCTTTCCCCCCCCCCCCCCAAAAAAAAAAAAAAAAACAAAAGAAAAGGCCACTAACTTGACAAGAAGGACACTGGACGTCCGGCCGTCTAGTCTATTCTTTCATATAAGGTTTAGCGTTTAGGGTTTAGGGCTTAGGGTCTAGGGTCTAGGGTTTCGGGCTTAAGGGTCAAAATAGCTTACAAGGGGTTGAATTTGGGGCGGGGCGGGGGGCCTTGAAGAGGAGCAGGCCCCACCAGGGGTTCCTCAAAAGCCCAAACCCCGACCAAAGTCCTGCCACAACTGGTTGAGGGTTTAGGGTTTAGGGTTTCGGGTAAAAAGCCCCAAGCCCGCAAGGAAACGACGATGCAACAATTCCGGGTCTCCGGCTCGGCGTCTGATGGGCCCTTGGCACCCCAAGATCGGAGAGGGTTCAGGGTTTAGGGCTTGGGGGATTTAGGGTTTAGGGTTTAGGGTCCAGGATTCAGGCTTAGGGTTAGGGATTTAGTGTGTGTAGTAGGGCGGGTAGCGCCCTGGCAACTCGCTTGTGTCGCGATTTCTCCCCATCCCTTCCGCCCTGACTGTTCGCTTTGGGGGTTTCCGGACCTGCAGAGGAAACGTCCTTAGGGGGACCAGGCGGACTTGACTGGGACAAAAACCGGAGCAATTGGCAGTTGAGGTCTGCGCGTTTAGCGGAGTTCAGGATTCGTTGCCGTGGTTTTAACTGGAGAGGTATATTGCGCCGAGGTGCTGCCACTTTGACTACCACCTCCTGGCGACAGGACTCCAGGTTTTGCGCAAGTTTATTGATTGGGAACCCTAAACGCTAAACCGTCAATCGCAGGTCGTTGGTTTGAAACGTACAGGACACAGATACCAGCAGCCCTAGAAAGTCTCAGCTCTACACCCTCTTAACCCTAAACCCTAAACCCTAAATCACCTGAAGCAGCCACCCAGAACTCGCAGCGTCTCGCACTCAAGCGAGTCTTCAGGGTTTAGGTCCCTGCACAGCCGAGTTTCAAGGATGCTCCCTGGATGCTCCCTGGGCAAGATAAACTCGTCCCTTAAACAAGCATAGGGTTAGGGTTTAGGGTTTAGGGTTTAGGGTTTGCGGTTTAGGGTTTAGGGTTTAGTGTTTAGGGTTTAGGGTTTAGGGTTTAGGGTTTAAGGTTTAGGGTTTAGGGTTTAGGGTTTAGGGTTTAGGGTTTAGGGTTTAGGGACCTGAAGAAGAGTTCCTTGTGGACAACTTGGGGGGGAACCCTCGCTTCAAAGGGGAGATTCCTACTTGGAGGTCAGGGTACTTACAACCCAGTTATAACTGTACTTAGTGAAGTCCCCTAAGTAGGTTATAAGCTATAAGTAGACGTATAAAATGGGGTTATGAACCTTCAAGCAGATAAGGTAAATAAGACGGTTAAGTAAACTTCTAGTTGGGGTTATGAACCTCCACGTAGTTAAGGGAAATAAGATGTTGGATAAGCTACCCTAAGCGGTGAGGCTAGGCGCCTAAACCCCAAACCCGCTTCCTGAACCCGGAACCTCAGGCCTCTCTTCCCCCCCGTGGTTAAGGTTTAGGGTTTAGGGTTTAGGGTTTAGGGTTTAGGGTTTAGGGTTTAGGGTTTAGGGTTTAGGGTTTAGGGTTTAGGGTTTAGGGTTTAGGGTTTAGGGTTTAGCGCAACACCAGCGCTCCTCTTCCTCCTCCTCCGTCTCTGTCTCACCGCCACTCATGTGGTCGGGGAAGTCCTCGCGGGGCTCGAGCACCTCACCGCTGACAGTCGCTTACGAGGTTTAGGGTTTAGGGTTTAGGGTTTAGGGTTTAGGGTTTAGGGTTTAGGGTTTAGGGTTTAGGGTGAATTGTTGCGAAAGTAGGGGTACCCCCTTCTTGGGGGTCCCTTTCAAGGGATTCTAGTCTATTTTGGGTACAAAAAGGGTTTAGGGACCCCTATTTTGGGAAATGCCCACTTGAGTGAATCGTGCGAATCTGTGCGAATTCGGAGTTGTAAGTGTGGTAAACTCTTCAAGCCAACTCCGCGTATTCCAAGGATCCTGGTAGCGTGGCAGTTCAGGGCTTTCATGATTAGCTGACAGGATGCGGCCTTTTGGGGCTTTGGAAGCAACATGAATAAACCAGGTTACGACGTAGATTGTGGTAACTGCCTCATACGGCTTCTAAGGAGAACAAGCAATATTTTCAGCTTGCCGCAACTGGGGCTCGGGCTGGTTGCGGGGGCTTAGGATAAAACCCACCCGTATGCCAAAACTAGGTTTGTGAGTAACCCGAAACCCTAACGCATTCCTCAAGTCCGAAGCCCTCGGTGCCGCCATGTAACCTGTGCCACGCTTTGGGTTGAGGGTTTGGGCCAGGGGTTTCTTCTTTACGGTTCGAGCAGCCTAAACAGTCAGCCCTTAACCCACCAAAAAGACATCCTTGCAAGAACCACATCCAAAGCACGTTGCGTTGCCTGCGCCATCAGCCTTGTCAAACTCTAATTGAGCCTCATATTCCCTTCACATCACCACAAAAACTACAACTTAACACCCCCTAAGTACTGAACTCTCCCGAGCACGAATGCGGTACTATTCTCTCAGCCTTACCAAATACTCTCAACGATAAGCACCGATTCAAAAAGCTCCCCTACACATCGCAGTATGGGATCCTTGACTACCCACCCGAGCTACCCTGCACCCCAAAAAAAGGCCGAAATGAGGCTTGATTAATCAAGCCTTGCGTATTTGGGCGCCCGACTGTAGATTGGGGGGGGAGTCTCAGCGGTAGCCCAAACCCTAAACCCGAAACCCTATACCCTAATCCTGGGACTTTGGGGAGGGTCAGAAGCGATGCAAGGAACCTCCACATCAATCTCCGAACCGCTCATCATCGAAGCGGCGTTGCTCACCTAACAGGGTCCGCTTAGGTTTTTAGGGTGTAGGGTTCAGAGTTTAGGCCTAGGAAACCTGCCGACTTTTTCTCATAGCTTATAAGGGTTCATAGCATTTAGGGCTTGTGGCTTAGGTTTAGGAATTTGGGTTGGGGATTAAGGTTTCGGGTCCAGACCTAAACTCTAAACCCCGAAACCTAAACCTTAAACCCCACCGGAACCCCTGTAAGCCTTAAACCTTCTGAAGGGGAGTGCTTGGAAAAATGTTCAGGATTTTGCAGGGGTTTAGGGTTCAGGGGTTCAGGTGTTTCAGGGATCTAGGGGTTAGGGGTGTAGGGTTTAGGGTTTAGGGTTTAGGGTTTAGGGTTTAGGGTCTAGGGTTTAGGGTTTAGGATTAGGGTTAAGCGTTTAGGGTTTAGGGAGGTTCGGGTTCGGGAGTTTCGGGTCACGACCATAAACGGGGGGGCTCCCAGATGGCACTGCTTGAAGGCTCATTGGTGCATTTTGACAATTTTAAAGTGTACTTATAACCCAAATTAGAACCATACTAGGGCACTTAAGGGGTTGATAAGTGGGTTATAAGTACAGCTACTTAGGAATCCCGAAACCCTAAACCCTAAACCCTAAACCCTAAACCCCAAGTGGCGCCTCACTCTGTGAGCCCTGGGAGGTCTCCCGCTGGAGCGGGGTAAGCCGCACAGGCTCCTGCCCGGAAAGGGTTTAGGGTTTAGGGTTTAGGGTTTAGGGTTTAGGGTTTAGGGTTTAGGGTTTAGGGTTTAGGGTTTAGGGTTTAGGGTTTAGGGTTTACATGGTCCCAAAACCTGAGCCACAACAGTCCCAAACCCAACTTCCAACTCTGTGAAGCGGGGGGGGGGGGGGGGAGGGGGGCGTGGCTTGAGATGAATTTGATGAGAGCTTCCTTTAACTCTCGTCTCTCTTCTCTTGAATCTCTCTTTCTCCTGTTTGTTTTTTCTATCTCTCTCTCTGTCTCTCTTAATCCCTCTCCCTCTCTCTCTCTGTCTCGCTCTCTCAAGAAGAAGGATGCTGGCACATATAGTCCATAACAGTCCAACTATCGGCCGGGGGGGGGGGGGGGGGGGGGGTCATGCGCGTCCATAGAGCTACGCTGGCTAAGCAAAGTCCTAGAGCTCGACACTACGCCCAACCCTAAACCCTGCACCCATGCACTCGTTGGAACATCATAAGATGCCTTTCCAGTTTCCCGGCACCCTTGTTGCCACCCAATCCCCCGAATGGCCCGGAAACCCCGGGGCGGCATCTTCGGACTGACCCTACCACAGGCTAAACCTCACAGGTCCTTGGTGGCTCAACCCATGTCAGCTCTATAGAGGGTCTAGAGGGTTCAGGGCTCACAAGGGTTGAGGGTTTAGGCCTTTTAGGGTTTACGGCGTTTCGGGTTTAGGGTTTTCGGGCGTTTAGGGTTTAGGGTTTAGGGCCTTGGGTTTCGGATTTAGGGCTCAGGCTTCAGGGCTTAGGGTGCTTAGGCCTTAGGGTTTAGAGGTTCGGGCTTAGGGCTTAGGGTTGAGGCTTAGGGTCAGACATGGCGTTTGAGAGGCAAGCACACACTTGCTTCAGCCCCATCTCGGGGGCATGGACAGTAGGTATCAACAAGGTAGTAAGACCCTCAAGCCTAAGGCCCCACTTTCTGCATGACTAGTTCATAAGCATTGTCAACTGACTCCTGGATTCACGGAAGCCTGGGGTTGGACGCTTTAGGGTTTAGGGTTACCAAGGGCTCCCTCGGACGAGATCTGCGCCGAAGGAAATTTTTGGTTGATTCCGGAACTCAAGCGGTGCAGTCCCAAAGCCCAGTGAGATACGGCCACTTAGCCCTACACCCCGTCCTCAGAACACCCAAGCTGCGCCTCCTGAAACGAAGGAGCCCCCTAGACCCTAAACCCTAAACCCCAAACCCCAAACCCTAAACCCGAAACCCTAAGCCCTAAGCCCAAACGAATCCCAACAACGCGGATCTCCTGAACAGCCTGCTCAGGGCTGCTGTTCCACCATACCCGCTGCGGAGGCTCCTGCGTGGCCAACCCATGCACCCTACAGGTTGTCGGTGTAGGCTTTTTAGGTGTATGGTCAGGGTTTAGGGTTTAGGGTTGAGGGTTGAGGGTGAGGGTTGAGGGTTTAGGGTTAGTTCTTACATGAGGAAGGCCTGGAGGAGTCTGATGTGGCCCCATCTTCGGCTGTATCTACGGAGGGTTTAGGGTTTTGGGTCCACAAAACGCTAAAGGGCCAACTTTACCTCTCAGCCCGAAAGTCTCGAACCCCAACATCACACAATCCTCCTGGACACAGGAGTAACCTAGGAATAAAAGGGGTGCCCTTTCTGGTTTTATAAGAGGGTTAGAAGGGAGCCGCAACCCTAAAAAAAGAAAATGATCTACTCCTGGTCCTAGCCTCAGCCCCAAACATAAAGCCTGGAACCTCAACCCCAACTCCCCACAACCTCAAACCACGACCCTTTTTGCTGGAAAATGCACGCTCAGCACAGAGAGAGAGAGAGAGAGAGAGAGAGAGAGAGGAAGAGAGAGAGAGAGAGAGGAAGAGAGAGAGAGAGAGAGGAAGAGAGAGAGAGAGAGGAAGAGAGAGAGAGAGAGAGGAAGAGAGAGAAAGAGAGAGAGAGACATAGAGAGAGCGAGACAGAGAGAGAGACAGAGAGAGACAGAGAAAACGAACATCTCAAATCCCCTTCCTAAAGGACAGAAAACAAACCTCCTCAACTCGCCCCTAAACCCTGAACCCTAGACCACCAAGTCTAAACCCTAAACCCTACTAAACCGTACTAAACCCTACTAAACCCTACTAAACCTTACTAAACCCTACTAAACCCTACTAAACCCTAAACCCTGAACCCTGAACCCTAAACCCTAAACCCTAGACCCTAAACCCTAAACCCTAAACCCTAAACCCTAAACCCTAAACCCTAAACCCTAAACCCCGCACAACGCCCTTCAAAAAGAAAGCAAGCAGGAGGCTGGGGACCAACCTCCTGAGGGCTGCTTTTCCACGAAACCCGCTGCGCAGGTTCCTGGATGGCCAACTCATCGGGTTTAGGGTTTAGGGTTTAGGGTTGAGGGTTGAGGGTTGAGGGTTGAGGGTTGAGGGTTGAGGGTTGAGGGTGACCCCGGAGAACCCGCTGCCAACATTAACTGCTGCACACGTTGTAGCTTTAACTTAGCCGCTTGCCAGCGGAAAATACCACTAGGTTGCATGGTCTTTGGGGCGTCTACGGGTTTGACGTCCTAAACCCCTGCAGGTCTAAGCAGCTAAGCGAATTGGTAGTTTGCTGCTTCCAAGGAGACTGCAGAATCCTCAAGAACCCCTAAACCCTAAACCCTAAACCCTGAACCCTAAACCCTAAACCCTGAACCCTGAACCCTGAACCCTAAACCCTGAACCCTAAACAAGGGGCAGAGTCACGCACAGGAGGCCTCGACAGGGGAGAGCTGCCCGCGCATCTGCGATAGCCGCCCAGGGTCCTAGACGGGAAGCGAGCCGTAGGCTCAGTGCGCCGAATCAGCATCGGCACGTGGGCGTTGGTCGAATTTCGGGTGTAGGCTTGGGCTTTTGGGGTTTATCCCTTGCACCTTCCTTTCGAACCACACCCCCCTTGAAGAAGGGCCCTCCAAAAGAGACCTGGCTGGGTTGCGCCCCCCCAGACTGCTCTCTCCACCCAAGTGCCCAGGTCGGGTCGTAGAATCATGTGGGAGGCAGTGGATTTACGGATGGCCATAAGCCAAGACTCAAACAGCTAACGGACAACTTGCGAAACTCAGGGGCCTTGTAGGTACCTTTATCGAAAGCTCATGCTTAGGATAGTATTAAAATACTGGCTGGGCGTTCCGACCCCTGCGAAAAATATTAAGGGAAATCTGCGTTGTTGCCATTAAAGGCAATCATCATACACAAACACACGCCTCCCACACACACACACACATGCGCACACATGCAATCACTCGCACACCTTTTTCATCGGCTCGCGGCTGTGGATTCCTTCTGCGGGACCAAAGTGAACAGAACCCTCTAGCAACGGAACCTTTCTTGAAACAACATCAAGGACCTGGACCAAACAACCTGGCCAAAAACACCTAGCCCTGGGAAGCGCACAAACTCTGAACCCTCCTGTGGCGGAGCCTGACAAACCTTCTAAGCCAAATGCCCTTAAAGAGCTTCGCTAAGGCCTGAGACAAAGGAACCACCAAAGAGCCCTCCCAAAGGATCCCTTTCAAGTTAAGTGATCGAGCCCACCATTGCCCCCAGCGGCCAGTGTGTGGCCTGCACTAGTGCGCAAACCTTGACTGGGAGCCCTCAATCTCAAGACCTTTCGCCCTGAACCAAACGAAAATGTCAATTATGGCCTGAAGGAGTTTGACAAAACCCGTGCCATCTCACTGCGCCAGGTCGGGCCATGCGGCTGTCTTCAACCTGCCAAGGTCCGAGTAGGCTGCTGGCTAGGGGTTTGGGGCTTAGGGTTTTTTAGGGTTTTGGGTTTTATAGGTGGTTCAAGGAAAAGAATATAGGGTCTGGAGAATTCTCCCTGGGAGGAGCCTATCCTAAACCGCCAAACCCGAACGCCTAAACCCCAAGGCCTGACATTGACAGGATTCCATAGCCCAGACACATATGACTATAAAGGCTCCCCCAAGCTTGAAGCCTGAAGCCTAAGATCGATTCAGGTTCAATCCTTGAATCTGAATTCCTTCGAGTTTAAAACTTATTATTAATTTAATAAGGTTTAAATAGGGACTTAGGGCTTAGGAAGCGGCAACCGTTCTAGGGTGGTTCGGTGGGGCACAGGAGTTTGTGGTTCGCATCCCAGCCCCGGAGCTTATCCTAAACCCGAACGCCTAAACCCCAAACAACCCAAATAGCTATTTGTGCTCCAGGGCTCAGAACAAATTGGTTTAGCTTAGAGAGACAAGCTCTCGAAACCTATCTCCTAAACCCTACAGTTGTTCTTACAGTAGGGTCTCGGCATGCCATGCTGGTCATTGTTAGGGGCCTGGAAGCTTTGAGAGCGGCCTGGGCCCAGAGACGAGACGATCCCCCAAACCCCTGAAGGGACTGACAGCAGGCAGAAGCAGCAGCTTAGGGAAATCCGCCCTCTAAATCCTTACATTTACATGGGGCCCCGCCGCTAAACCTGATCCTATCGTCCCTCTTAGGGCCCCCCAGCGCAGCGAAGGGGTTGGGGAGCGAAAACCCATGGCAGCTAGTGGCAGGTTACAAGGAAGAGGAAGAGAAGAGGCTCCAGGATCTCGATGTCGATGATCGTCCATGAAGCGCTCCCAGAGCGTCATGAGATGCGTCGTGGCATCTTCGGAGTCGTTTTCCGTCATCGCCTCCGGCACTGCCGCCAGCTGCACGCCGGCAGAGTTGGCAGTGTGGCTAGCCGCTTGCGCCCATGGCGGCGCCACCTGTTGCCTTCGAACGAAGGACTGCGGCATGTTCTGGCCCACGCTGCAGGGGACGAGTCCCAGGAGTCCGGCCACGCCCACTCGTCAAGCCTTGACTCCCACTGCCTCTTCGAGACCTGTCGGTGGGGTCAGGAGTCATGGGCTGACTCAGGCTCTCGCCTGTCCTGTGGCCCCTCGGCAGTGAATGCCTTGTACTCCGGCATCGCTGCGAACAGTCGTTGAGTTTAGGGTTTAGGGTTTAGGGTTTAGGGTTTAGGGTTTAGGGTTTAGGGTTTAGGGTTTAGGGTTTAGGGTTTAGGGTTTAGGGTTTAGGGTTTAGGGTTTAGGGTTTAGGGTTTAGGGTTTAGGGTTTAGGGTTTAGGGTTTAGGGGGTTTAGGGTTTAGGGTTTAGGGTTTCGGTTTAGGGTTTAGGGTTTAGGGTTTAGGGTTTAGAGTTTAGGGTGTAGGGTTTAAGGGTGTTTAGGGTTTTTAGGGTTTTTAGGGTTTTAGGGTCACCACAGATTGTAGCCCTTGAGTGTCACTAAACCCTCGAAGCCTTGCCAAGGCTCAACCTTCGAATTCGAAAACCCCGTAATTAAATAAAGGGGTTCATAGGGCTTCACTTCGGCTAAACCCCAACCTAAACACCTCCAGGGCCTCAGAGGTCGAGGGCAGCAGCAGGTCCGTGCCCTTGACGAGGGTGTTGGGGTTCAAGGCTTAGGGCTTCTTAGGCTCCAAGCGAGGGCAGCCACAACTCAAGAGAACGAAGCAACCCACAACAGTGAGACACCCAAACTGTGTGACTCGCTAGAGCTCGGTCTTTGAGCTCGCTACAGAATTGAAGCTCGACCTTGAAGCGACTAACTCAATTCAATAATCTTCAACCAAAACTACATGACAAAGCCTGGTCAGGCTGCATTTGTTTGAGATCTTCGTCCCGGGGCCTCTGCGACCATTACTTCACCTAGTCCATGAGATATACTTAGCAAATCGATTCATTTAAAATGATATGTCCACTTCATTTGATGGGCTGCGGTTTCCGGCTCCCGACTTCCCAGACCCTAGACATGCCTCTCGACCCTAGCCCTCATCACTCAACCCTCTCAATGTCCAAGCAATGAAGTCCAAGCAACTTAGACTGCAAACACCTTGCCCGGAGACCTTAAAGCCCAGGCCACATCAGGAACACTATGATCACAGAAATACGCGAATCCAAACCCCAAGCCTGAATGCGGCGCCGACCTCATGTTTGGCATTCGAGTGCCCCGGCGCCTGCGCAGCAAAGTACTTTGAATTTGTCACGCGCGAATGCCTAATTCTTTGAAGAGGTTGGGTTTCGCCGAAACCCTGGGTATTGCTACTAAGACAAGACTTAAATCGGGAACAATTCTGCTAAATCACAGCATGCCGCACTGAAACTTGCGCCGCCCTTCCAGGACTTTTTGGCCATCATCGCGCCAACGCCTTCAGCGGCTCACACCCTACCCCGGTACCCCTTGAGACCCGACGAACTGTGCGTACGAAGTTTGACAGTTTTGTCAAACTGGTAATTTGGACTTCCTCCCCCTGACACCGTCGTTTTTTGACAGTGTTTTCAGTCCTAGTCCTTAATTTCCATTGTGAGCCCTTGTAGCTGCACAAGGATGTTAAAAGCTGGTTAGCACAGTGATGTGAGTCCTTGAAATCATTTGAAATAGTGATAAAGACCTTGGCCTCGCTGGCCGGCAAGTGCTTTGTGAAAGCCTGCGAAGGAATCCCACGAAAAACTCCCTTGCAGCTCTCGAAGGCCCTGCGTTCCACCACAGGTTTGCCCAAAAACACCAGGGCGAGCGCCAACTTGACGAAGTGTTTCCTAGATCTGCTGGAATAGGTCTAGTACCTAATTTTCAATCGTCCAAAAACTTGGCCTCAAAAGCTATCTGAATCAACCAAGTCTCCCACGGCCATGGGAAAAGAGCAAGTCGGTGACCGAGTCCAGGACCACGATCTGCGCAGCTTTCAGTTGCGGCAACCAAGTCGTCATCTTGCTGGCCGGGTCCCATGTGGTAATTGCATTGCGCCTCTCGCTGTTGATGAGCACATCATTCTTTGAGGCATTCAGCACACTCACCGCAGACGAATTGGCCAACCTGTCTCGCACGGAGCGGGCGGCTGCGGCCGATGCCCCACCGGCATCTGCGCCAAAGACCTGGCCTCGACGCTCGCTGATCGGCTGCATGGGTGTCCTTCCTGCGGCCATTGTCCTTCGCTGCATCTTGCGGAGCTGTATCAGGCGACGTTGCTTGTCCATTTGGGCGTTCCAGACCGAGGATTTGTCCATCCTCTTCTGAGGGTCCTGACGGAAATGCCGGTTGCTTTTGCCCAACAAGGCCTTGTCCTTGCCCTTCTTCTGGGACAAGGCCGTCCTAGTCAGGCCTTGCTTGGTCCGAAGGCCGGCCTCAGACCCCTTCTGATGCCCTTTGGCCTGGCCAAGGTCCTTTCGGCGCTTGTAAACATGGAACCTGCGGCCGTGACGAGTGAGCCAATGCCCTTGAAGACGGCGGGAAAACGGCGTCACCAGCAGGTGGACCTTCTTGTCGTTCCCTTCCGTCACTACACGCTTTTGGAACATGCTGCCCTCGTCCGACGGACCATCCATGCTTATCTCAGCCGTCTCCCACACGACGTCCTTGGCCTCGGACCTGTGGGCCTCATGGCCCGCTTTGATGATGGCCAAGGCCCTCTCGCAGTCCCCAGTAGAGGCCTCGAAGGCCAAATAAAAGCAGCAAATGGCCTTCAGCTCGGCCAGGTGGCCGGGGCGTCCTTCACAAAAGCCGTTGTCCAAGACCACTGCCCAAGCATCTCGGTTGTCAAAGGCCGTGTCCACCTTCCTTCGGTGCACTTCCCTGGTGCTTCAGTCCCGCTACCCACACAGCCTGCAGGCCTATAAAAAAAACACAAGCCATGAAAACACAAGATGCTCTTGAAATCCAAGCGGCATATAGCCCTGGAAGTACCGAAAAAAACTGTTCAGTGGAGGCCTTTGGATTGACCTTGAGCGCAGCGCTCCTCAGCTTCACCAAGCAACACAGAACAAGTGAATG